CACTAGCCAGGTGTGTGACGGGGGTTGCTAGTGGGTGTAGACACACTAGCCAAGTGTGTGACGGGGGGTTGCTAGTGGGTGTAGACACACTAGCCAGGTGTGTGACGGGGGGTTGCTAGTGGGTGTAGACACACTAGCCAGGTGTGTGACGGGGGTTGCTAGTGGGTGTAGACACACTAGCCAGGTGTGTGACGGGGGGGTTGCTAGTGGGTGTAGACACACTAGCCAGGTGTGTGACGGGGGGTTGCTAGTGGGTGTAGACACACTAGCCAGGTGTGTGACGGGGGTTGCTAGCGGGTGTAGACACACTAGCCAGGTGTGTGACGGGGGGTTGCCAGTGGGTGTAGACACACTAGCCAGGTGTGTGACGGGGGGTTGCTAGTGGGTGTAGACACACTAGCCAGGTGTGTGACGGGGGGTTGCCAGTGGGTGTAGACACACTAGCCAGGTGTGTGACGGGGGTTACTAGCGGGGTGTAGACACACTAGCCAGGTGTGTGACGGGGGATTGCCAGTGGGTGTAGACACACTAGCCAGGTGTGTGACGGGGGTTACTAGCGGGGTGTAGACACACTAGCCAGGTGTGTGACGGGGGGTTGCCAGTGGGTGTAGACACACTAGCCAGGTGTGTGACGGGGGATTGCCAGTGGGTGTAGACACACTAGCCAGGTGTGTGACGGGGGTTGCCAGTGGGTGTAGACACACTAGCCAGGTGTGTGACGGGGGGTTGCTAGTGGGGTGTAGACACACTAGCCAGGTGTGTGACGGGGGGTTGCTAGTGGGTGTAGACACACTAGCCAGGTGTGTGACGGGGGGTTGCTAGTGGGTGTAGACACACTAGCCAGGTGTGTGACGGGGGGTTGCCCGTGGGTGTAGACACACTAGCCAGGTGTGTGACGGGGTGTTACTAGCGGGTATAGACACACTAGCCAGGTGTGTGACGGGGTGTTACTAGCGGGTGTAGACACACTAGCCAGGTGTGTGACGGGGGGTTGCCAGTGGGTGTAGACACACTAGCCAGGTGTGTGACGGGGGGTTGCCCGTGGGTGTAGACACACTAGCCAGGTGTGTGACGGGGTGTTACTAGCGGGTATAGACACACTAGCCAGGTGTGTGACGGGGTGTTACTAGCGGGTGTAGACACACTAGCCAGGTGTGTGACGGGGGTTGCCAGCGGGTGTAGACACACTAGCCAGGTGTGTGACGGGGGGTTGCCAGTGGGTGTAGACACACTAGCCAGGTGTGTGACGGGGGGTTGCCAGTGGGTGTAGACACACTAGCCAGGTGTGTGACGGAGGTTGCTAGTGGGGTGTAGACACACTAGCCAGGTGTGTGACGGGGGGTTGCCAGTGTTACAATGAAGCCACAGCAGTGTACCGAACTGTGCAGCCTCAAGTAATGCCATTACCCCCCCCCCCACAAGACGCCCAACCTCGTGTGTGTGTCTGTCTCTCTCCAGTGACCGCGGTGCTTAGCTCTGGGGACCCGCCTCCCGCTGCTGGCACAACACTTGTCTACACCACTTCTTACACGCTTCTCAAGTGTGCTTGTGGCCGGTGCAGGAGACAGCACTATTGACCAGCAGCACCTGGAGGAAGCACCAGGAGACCGGGTGACCTTGGCACAGAGGGATAGGAGAAGGAGGAGGAGCAGAGGTGAAGGAATGGTACCTACTATGTTAGAACACTGGGAATCGAACGCCGGCCTGCAAATGTATGCGATGCGGCAGTTTTATACCGATCATTTCCAGTGGCCTCGACTGATATAGGAAGATGGTGGACGGTCCTCCACATTAATGCCAACATTTCTCACTGTTTTCCAGCGAGCCCTTGACCCCCTCCCCCCCCCTGACCTGCCTCCTGCCTCCTCTCACACGCCTCTCCCACTCCTCCCCCCCTCTCTCCCTCATCTCCGCCCCCCCCCCTCCCACCTCCTCTCACCCCCCCTCTCTCTCCCTCATCTCCGCCCCCCCCCCTCCCACCTCTCACCCCCCCCTCTCTCACTTTGGTGAGATACGCTGCTGCAGTATTGAGTGCTCACGGTGTGGAGGCCAGACACACAGGGGCGGAAGTGGGAAGCATCGCCACGAGGCCTGCCACGGGAGGAAGCTGGGACGTTATATATGTTCTATATCTAGAACATATGCCCGTAGTAGTAGTAGGCCAGACGCTCGCCGCTAGCCATACTCAACATTCCAACACGAAACGCGGGTGGGGGTGGGAGGGGAGGAGAGGGAGAGGGGGGGGGGGGGTTATGTTAGTGTCGTAAGGCCAGCCGGGGTCGGCCGTAGAGCCACTATTCAAGAAATATCGATGTTTGTATCTACCCCCATACGATTTTTGTGAATCCAGCTCACACAACAGCCCCCCAGCTCACACAACAGCCCCCCCCCAGCTCACACAACAGCTCCCAGCTCACACAACAACCCCCCCAGCTCACACAACAGCTCCCCAGCTCACACAACAGCTCCCCCCAGCTCACACAACAGCCCCCCCAGCTCACACAACAGCTCCCTAGCTCACACAACAGCCCCCCAGCTCACACAACAGCCCCCCCAGCTCACACAACAGCTCCCCAGCTCACACAACAGCCCCCCAGCTCACACAACAGCCCCCCCCAGCTCACACAACAACCCCCCAGCTCACACAACAGCCCCCCAGCTCACACAACAGCTCCCCAGCTCACACAACAGCCCCCCAGCTCACACAACAGCCCCCCAGCTCACACAACAGCCCCCCAGCTCACACAACAGTCCCCAGCTCACACAACAGCCCCCAGCTCACACAACAGCCCCCCAGCTCACACAACAGCCCCCCCCCCAGCTCACACAACAGCCCCCAGCTCACACAACAGCCCCCAGCTCACACAACAGCCCCCCAGCTCACACAACAGCCCCCCAGCTCACACAACAGCCCCCAGCTCACACAACAGCCCCCCAGCTCACACAACAGCCCTCAGCTCACACAACAGCCCCCCAGCTCACACAACAGCCCCCCAGCTCACACAACAGCCCTCAGCTCACACAACAGCCCCCAGCTCACACAACAGCCCCCCAGCTCACACAACAGCCCCCAGCTCACACAACAGCCCCCCAGCTCACACAACAGCCCTCAGCTCACACAACAGCCCCCAGCTCACACAACAGTCCCCAGCTCACACAACAGTCCCCAGCTCACACAACAGCCCCCAGCTCACACAACAGCCCCCAGCTCACACAACAGACCCCAGCTCACACAACAGCCCCCAGCTCACACAACAGCTCCCCCAGCTCACACAACAGCCCCCCAGCTCACACAACAGCCCCCCAGCTCACACAACAGCCCACCAGCTCACACAACAGCCCCCCAGCTCACACAACATCCCCCCCAGCTCACACAACAGCTCCCCAGCTCACACAACATCCCCCCCAGCTCACACAACATCCCCCCCAGCTCACACAACAGCTCCCCCAGCTCATACAACACCTCCCAGCTCACACAACAGCCCCCACCTCCAGCTCACACAACACCTCCCAGCTCACACAACAGCCCCCCCAGCTCACACAACAGCCCCCCAACTCATACAACAGCTCCCCCAGCTCACACAACACCTCCCAGCTCACACAACAGCCCCCCAGCTCACACAACAGCCCCCCAACTCACACAACAGCCCCCCCAGCTCACACAACAGCTCCCCAGCTCACACAACAGCCCCCCCAGCTCACACAACAGCCCCCCAGCTCACACAACAGCCCCCCCAGCTCATACAACAGCTCCCAGCTTACACAACAGCTCCCCAGCTCACACAACAGCTCCCCCAGCTCACACAACAGCTCCCCAGCTCACACAACAGCTCCCCAGCTCACACAACAGCCCCCCAGCTCACACAACAGCCCCCCAGCTCACACAACAGCCCCCCAGCTCACACAACAGCCCTCAGCTCACACAACAGCCCCCCAGCTCACACAACAGCCCCCCAGCTCACACAACAGCCCACCAGCTCACACAACAGCCCCCCCAGCTCACACAACATCCCCCCCCAGCTCACACAACAGCTCCCCAGCTCACACAACAGCCCCCCAGCACACACAACAGCCCCCAGCTCACACAACATCCCCCCAGCTCACACAACAGCTCCCCCAGCTCATACAACACCTCCCAGCTCACACAACAGCCCCCACCCCCAGCTCACACAACACCTCCCAACTCACACAACAGGCCCCCCCCCAGCTCACACAACAGCCCCCCAACTCACACAACAGCACCCCCAGCTGACACAACACCTCCCAGCTCACACAACAGCCCCCCAACTCACACAACAGCTCCCAGCTTACACAACAGCTCCCAGCTCACACAACAGCTCCCCCAGCTCACACAACAGCCCCCCCAGCTCACACAACAGCCCCCCCAGCTCACACAACAGCCCCCCAGCTCACACAACAGCCCCCAGCTCACACAACAGCCCCCCCAGCTCACATAACAGCCCCCCCAGCTCACACAACAGCCCCCCCAGCTCACACAACAGCCCCCCCAGCTCACACAACAGCCCCCCCAGCTCACACAACAGCCCCCCCAGCTCACACAACACCTCCCAGCTCACACAACACCTCCCAGCTCACACAACAGCCCCCCCAGCTCACACAACACCTCCCAGCTCACACAACACCTCCCAGCTCACACAACAGCCCCCCCCCCCCAGCTCTAGGGGCCAAGAGCAAGCAGGGAAGGAGAGGAAGGAAGAGAAGGACTCAAGGTAGCGGAGGAGTGGTGAGAAGGGTGCCACTGGCAACCTTCAGTAGTGCCATCATTACCAAGGCCAGCGTGCCACCAGGTGCCACAGGTCATATTCACACGCACCGCTCTCGCTAATGGCATCACCCCATTCTCACACACACACACACACACACACACACACACACACACACACACACACACACACACACACACACACACACACACACACACACACACACACACGTGTGTGTGTGGACAGACAGAGAGAAAGATCGGACAGAGTGAAAGAATGAAACGGACGTCAGACTTATCAACACGTCACGTCAGACGGATCAACACGTCACGTCAGACGGATCAACACGTCACGTCAGACGGATCAACACGTCACGTCAGACGGATCAACACGTCACGTCAGACGGATCAACACGTCACGTCAGACGGATCAACACGTCACGTCAGACGGATCAACACGTCACGTCAGACGGATCAACACGTCACGTCAGACGGATCAACACGTCACGTCAGACGGATCAACACGTCACGTCAGACGGATCAACACGTCACGTCAGACGGATCAACACGTCACGTCAGACGGATCAACACGTCACGTCAGACGGATCAACACGTCACGTCAGACGGATCAACACGTCACGTCAGACGGATCAACACGTCACGTCAGACGGATCAACACGTCACGTCAGACGGATCAACACGTCACGTCAGACGGATCAACACGTCCCGTCAGACGGATCAACACGTCACGTCAGACGGATCAACACGCCACGTCAGACGGATCAACACGTCACGTCAGACGGATCAACACGTCACGTCAGACGGATCAACACGTCACGTCAGACACGTCAACATTGCACAGGTACGTAGCAATGTCCGTACTGCACAGAGTAGCAACTCTTCAGATGACAGCAGCAGCTTCTGGAAGACTCGGACGAGCAAGGGAGGTAAGCTAATTACCAGGAGAAACTGCCATTGATTGATGAAGATGAAGCCACCCAAAAGTGGCACGGGCATGAATAGCCCCGTAAGTGGTGGCCCTTTCGAGCCATTACCAGTATCAGAAGATGATACTGGAGATCTGTGGAGGTGCGACTGCACCCTGCGTGACGGGAGATGTCTCCCGTGGGAGAAAGCGCCAAGTCTTGACCACTATATAGCACTGGGAAGGTATCAGGATTAGGGATGGGACGGGGGGGGGGGGAGGAAGGAAGGAATGGTGCCCCAACCACTTGCGGACAGTCGGGAATCGAACGCCGACCTGCACGAAGCGAGACCGTCGCTCTACCGTCCAGCGCAAGTAGTCGGGCAGGAAATGAGGGAACCCACATCCTCCAGCTCAACTCAGTTAGCATTAAATCATCTCCCCCCCCCCCTTCCCAACCCTCCCATCTCCTATCCCACGCACCCAATCCACACCCCCACTCCACTAATTATTTCCCTACCCCCCCCCCCACCCCCCCTCTCCCTCCCTAATCCTGTCCACAACTTCAGCTCAAAATCCCCCCATATAACCGGACAAATCCATTTCGTCCAACATTCCGGGCTATTCATCCCCGTGCCACCTCTTGGAGTGCCTTAATCTCTATCAATCGTCAATCGTCCAAATTGAGACGTCAACACGCGTTCGTACACTACGGGCTCACCATAGCCCGTGCTACTTGCCCCGCTCCTGTGCCAGGTAAGTCCACTACGGGCTCACCATAGCCCGTGCTACTTGCCCCGCTCCTGTGCCAGGTAAGTCCACTACGGGCTCACCATAGCCCGTGCTACTTGCCCCGCTCCTGTGCCAGGTAAGTCCACTACGGGCTCACCATAGCCCGTGCTGCTTGCCCCGCTCCTGTGCCAGGTAAGTCCACTACGGGCTCACCATAGCCCGCGCTACTTGCCCCGCTCCTGTGCCAGGTAAGTCCACTACGGGCTCACCATAGCCCGTGCTGCTTGCCCCGCTCCTGTGCCAGGTAAGTCCACTACGGGCTCACCATAGCCCGTGCTACTTGCCCCGCTCCTGTGCCAGGTAAGTCCACTACGGGCTCACCATAGCCCGCGCTACTTACCCCGCTCCTGTGCCAGGTAAGTCCACTACGGGCTCACCATAGCCCGCGCTACTTACCCCGCTCCTGTGCCAGGTAAGTCCACTACGGGCTCACCATAGCCCGTGCTACTTGCCCCGCTCCTGTGCCAGGTAAGTCCACTACGGGCTCACCATAGCCCGTGCTACTTGCCCCGCTCCTGTGCCAGGTAAGTCCACTACGGGCTCACCATAGCCTGTGCTACTTGCCCCGCTCCTGTGCCAGGTAAGTTATGGGCTCACCATAGCCCGTGCTACTTGCACCGCTCCTGTGCCAGGTAAGTCCACTACGGGCTCACCATAGCCTGTGCTACTTGCCCCGCTCCTGTGCCAGGTAAGCCCACTACGGGCTCACCATAGCCCGTGCTACTTGCCCCGCTCCTGTGCCAGGTAAGCCCACTAAGGGCTCACCATAGCCCGTGCTACTTGCCCCGCTCCTGTGCCAGGTAAGTCCACTACGGGCTCACCATAGCCCGTGCTACTTGCAACTTATGTTCCGAGTAGCTGAATCTAAAACAACAATAACAACAGCTATATACCCCCAGGGCGGGAAATCGCCCCCCCCCCCAAGAGCGACACGGGCCGTGCCGGTGACAGTTCTGGGGACGAAGAGCGCTCTAAAGTTACGTCAACCCCGCCCCAGATGGAATTACGTAGCAACTAAACTCCAGGGGCCAGATTCACGAAGCAGTTACGCAAGCACTTACGAACGTGTACATCTTTCCTCAATCTTTGACGGCTTTGGTTACATTTATTAAACAGTTTACAAGCATGAAAACTTGCCAATCAACTGTTGTTATTGTTATAAACAGCCTCCTGGTGCTTAGGGATCTCATTAACTGTTTAATAATTGTAAACAAAGCCGCCAAAGATTGAGGAAAGATGCTCAGGTTCGTAAGTGCTTGCGTAACTGCTTCGTGAATCTAGCCCCAGGAGTGGAGCCACGAGGACAACCCTCATTGTATTTTTACCCGGAGAAACAAGGCTGCCCGGACACCTGTGAAGTTATTTCCTCAAGTGTGTCGTGTTAATTATTGGTGATTATCCTTCCAGGGCGTGAAGGAGTAGTTATCCTTCCAGGGCGTGAAGGAGTAGTTATCCTTCCAGGGCGTGAAGGAGTAGTTATCCTTCCAGGGCGTGAAGGAGTAGTTATCCTTCCAGGGCGTGAAGGAATGGGTAGCAACTGACCATAATCCATTAGGATAACAGAAGGTTGGATATCACAAGCGGTGATATCTTACCCTTCAATACGCCAGGAGACTAAGACAGGAGTATGCTATAAGGAACTGGGCAGTTGTTATCAGTCTGGGAAGAGCGATATCTTGCTTGCCAACAGCAATGACTTAATTATGGGGAGGGGGGGGGAAGATCAAGTAATTAGGAGGCTAGGACGCCCTGAGCCATTACGACGATATGGCACTGAGAATACACAAGAGGATATGGATTAAGGATAAGACGGAGGAAAGGAATTGTTGCCCAAACACTTTGACGTTCGGGGATTGAACGCCAAGAAGTGTGACCGTTGTTCCACTGTACAGTCCAAGTGGGGGAATGACTTATGGGGGAATTCAATCGTGGTAAGACTGACTGGGAGAAGAGCGAGCTTCACACGGCCACAAACTTAACGAATTCAAAAAAACTATCAATGATGCTTTTACAAGTGGACATAACAAACGACCCACACGAATGGCTAGTAACGAGGAGCCAACCAGGATTTACCTGATATTCTGAACGAGTCTGCTGTAAGGGGGAATCAACCACATTGAGCTGGGTGCTACAATGGGCACAGGTTTAAACAAATATTTTAGGGTTCGCGCCTATATTGACATGGCGAATGTGGACCTCAAGTTGCAGTTAGAGGGAGTAACCCCCCCCCCCCTCTTCTTGGGGGTGTTGATCTATCTGTAGTAGTGAAGAAGACAATATATGTCGCTCCAAAGGTTGGTATCTGAATATGCAATCCTTTGAAGGATGAACCCTGCGGGCAATGCCTACTAGAGCGAAACCCTGGTAGAGTCATGAGACACGCGGCCAGAGGGTCGTAAGCCGTCTGTAGGGGTGTTACGAGGCCCGGGTAATCTTGGTAATGGCGCGGGGCTCGCTAGCACGCCCTGGCGCGGGGCTCGCTAGCACGTCCTGGCGCGGGACTCACCAGCACGCCCTGGCGCGGGGCTCACCAGCACGCCCTGGCGCGGGGCTCGCCAGCACGCCCTGGCGCGGGGCTCGCCAGCACGTCCTGCGCGGGGCTCGCTAGCACGCCCTGGCGCGGGGCTCGCTAGCACGTCCTGGCGCGGGACTCACCAGCACGCCCTGGCGCGGGGCTCACCACAACTCCCCACGCACGGTCTCTCTACGTCTTGCTAAAGGTTCCAGTCATCGTCTCACCGATGACCTCAGGATATGTAGAGCTAAACATCCATTGCATACGAATATTCTTCCAGAAAGGTCGGGTTCCCTCGCCTCAATATTCGCAGGTGATGGAGTTAATGGGGCGAGAGCTGTGGGGGCAGGTGGTGGGTGGTTGTGGTGGTTGGTAGTGGTGGTTGTGGTGGGTGGTTGTAGTGGTTGTGGTGGTTGTGGTGGTGGGTGTGGAGGCAAGGCACAACTGAGTCATACTGAGGCCTCACTCGTCAACTCGTTCTCTCGAGTATAAAGCAGTTTTGACGTTTAAATCCATAACGGCTAAAAACCGATGAACTAAAAATGGAGCCCCTCCTCGGACCAAACCCATTACCACGAGCAACTCCCCACCCCCCATCAAACCACCTGGATAGCTATCTAAATATATGTAAAAAAAAAAAAAGTTCAAGGGCACACTTAAATAGTTTTCGAATACCATATATATAATTCCATATATCTCACATTGGAGAATAGTATACCATATTAATTAACAAACAACGAAACCTAATCTAACCTTAACCTAACCATGGATAGAGAGTAGATATTCACACTAATTATGCAATTGTTCTCAATCCATCACCGGGCGCAGATTGTCTACAAAATTGAGGCATTGTCCCGTTTTCTGTTCGTGGATTCTCGGATTACATTAAATTCTAACTTCATTTAGGAGGCCAGGGGGCCAAATCCAAGAAGCAGTTACGCAAGCACTTACGAACGTGTACATGTTTCCTCAATCTTTGACGGCTTTGGTTACATTTATTAAACAGTTTACAAGCATGAAAACTTGCCAATCAACTGTTGTTATTGTTATAAACAGCCTCCTGGTGCTTAGGGATCTCATTAACTGTTTAATAATTGTAAACAAAGCCGCCAAAGTTTGAGAAAAGATGTACAGGTTCGTAAGTGCTTGCTTAACTGCTTCGTGAATCTGGCCCCTGGTCGGCAAGGTGAACCAATCAGAGTTTCACCCCAGACTCGCTTATTCGCCAGAAACGCGCACGTCTTAATATTTTTTTTT